CACGGTTAACGAAGTGCGCTATCCGCGCGGATTCCTCGGTCTGCCACCGTCGTTGCGCACGAGCCCGATCTTTCAACAGCTCCGCCCCACCACCCTGGAGGACATGTTTACCATCAAGCTCCTCGTCTTTGTCCGTCGTCGTTTGTTCTCCCGAGCTAGCTCCCTCTTCACCAGCTTCTTCCTGAGGGTTACTGGTGACCGCAATCGGAGAGCAGCACTTCACCTTCTACTTTGAAGCACAAGTACCATTTTGGCCCGGTCCTGCGGGTCGAGCGACCAAGAGTAGGAAACGTGTTTCGCAATATTTGTATGATGCTATTTTGTATTATAATATATTCCCATTCCGTTCTTGCTTTAGTGTAGCCCTGAGATTGACACGCTTTAAATTATTGTCTACTCTTCCTCTCTCCGTAGATCTATGTACAGTGTATGTCCTCCCGCCCCTCTGTCTCTCTCATTCCGTCTGTCGTTCACATGACATGTGTACCAAGGGTGGCGAGACCGCCTGTTTGTGGTGCGACGTTAAAATACACTTATACAGCAACAACAACAACAACAACAACAACAACAACAACAACAACAACAACAACAACAACAACAACAACAACAACAACAACAACAACAACAACAACAACAACAACAACAACAACAACAACGTGAGAATAAAGATTTGAAATAACAACAACAACAACAACAACCACAACACACCCAATATCCCGTCATTTCGCCCTCTCATTCCGCAGTGGCACACAGTATCCAATCTGGAAAATCGCGAACGTTGTGCCAGTGCACAAGAAGGGCACCAAAAGCAGCACAAAAAAAACTACCGTCCTATCTCACTGCTCTCAGTGTTGTCAAAACAAAAGACTTTTAAGTGCATGGGATCTTTGATCAACCGCAGGCTTGTCAACTTTCTTGAGCAGAACACTTTTCTCTTGACAAGGCAGTTCGGCTTTCGTCAAGGTCTTGGTGCGACAGATCTTCTCCTGGCTCTCCAGGATGAATGGAGCCGAACTGCGAATGGCAGTACGTGTCCTTGCTGTTGATATCGCAGGACGCAGGTGCCTTTGATAAGGTATCGCACCCCGGCCTCCTTCACCACGCAGAAAGGTAGGGGTTCCAAGGACACCTCCTCGCTTGGGTTCGTAGCTAGCTACCTAGCCCAACGGCAGATTCGTGCCGTCGTTGCAAGTTTTTTTTTGTTGTTGTTGTTTTTTTTACTATTATTCACAAACCCAACTCGTAAAATAAATAATTATGTGGACAAAAACAAACAGCTACTGAGCAGGGGCTGCACTGGGCAGCAGTGATGGTGAGGTACCAGGGGCTCCACCGACCAAAGGTCTCGGCTTCAATGCCACAAGCACGCACCAGGAAAAAGAAACAGAAATGTAAAGGAAAGCTAGATCTAGCTATGGGGAAGTAGAATAGAAGGTAAAAGTACCGGTAGGTGTTTAGAAAAATAAAAACAAGATGAAAAGAGATTGTTTATTATCAGTGTTTGGACTGATATACAATGTACATGTCAACTTCATCAACCAAAACTTATGAACTTTTTTAATAGATCTGAAACGAAACTCCCACAAAGAAGTGTAAAGAAAACAAGCTAAAAAACAGAAAAATAATAAGGCACCCATTTTGATAATCCAGGGGATGGCCCACGCCTGGTAAAAGAATAAGCAGAGAAAAGAAAAGAATCATAACAAGTTTTTCCATGTATGCAAAACACAGCTGAGCACTCTGAGCAAGGTCAGGTACGCGGATTAGCGGGTCCGGCAAGCGACGAGCTCGAAAAATTACAGGGAATCTGTTGCCCAGTACCAGTTGCTGTCTCTCAGGTGTCGGTAGACCTTTGTCTTGAATGACTGAAAACGTGTTTTGTGTGGGCGCTGCGACAGCAGCCTGTCAGGAAGGGAGTTCCATGTGCCAATACAGCAGTACGGGAACGACCGCTTCACGACGGATGGAGCTGAGACAGGGAGCGTGTCTGACAGTTGATAGGCGTGGCTGGTGGCATTATTGTGCTGGTTCCTGGTTCTGGGGTTGGCTGGAGAAACGCGATGCGGTGGCAATACAGCAAGTAGCTGAGGAGGACCAGTAATGAAATGCAATTTGTACATGCACGAGAGAGCAGCAACAGTCCGGCGGACAGCCAGACTGGGGAGAATTGCACCAGGGCCAATGATGCGCAGTGCGCGGCGTTGAACATTATCCAGACGTTGGATGTGGCTGGCTGGCGCGCCCATCCACACAAGCGGGGCATACTCCATCAAGGGCCTCACGAATGCCTTGTAGACAGTCGTTCGGCCAGCTGGCGTTAGAATGTGGGCCGCTCGTCGAAGAAAGCCGAGGCGCTGCTGGGCGCGGATGGTCACGGTCCTGAGGTGACTAGCGAAGGACAATTTGGAGTCAAATCGAACACCAAACAGTGATATGCTGGTTTCCTCCGGTACAGGGGTACCACCAAACAGGATTTGGGGCAGGTCTAGGTCAGTGCGTCGGAGGTTAGCAGTCAAACCCTGTGACTTGCTGGGCTCGAAAGACACTTTCCACCGGCAACCCCACTCATGCAGGCGGTTTGTGGATACCTGCAAGGTGTGTGCAGCGTCCCGAGGGCACTGAGCTGAGGATACTAGACTGTATAGTGTCGTATCGTCCGCGTAGGCCTCAAGCTGAGCATTGCCATCAAGAACATCGGCAGCGTCATTCACGTATATTAGAAACAACGTGGGGCCCAATATACTGCCTTGGGGCACCCCTGCAGAGATTGGGTAGAGAGAAGAAATCTGACCGCCGACTAAGCACTGGAGTGAACGGCCGTCAAGATAAGACGATAGCCAGCTATGGAGAGTGCCAGTAATGCCGAGCTGCCGGACCTTGTAGAGGAGGCCCACGTGGGAGACCCGGTCAAAGGCCCCGGCTATATCGACTGCGAGAATTCGTGCCGCGCCACCTTGGCCAACGATGTCCACCCAGGCATTATGAAGCGCCTGTAATGCGTCTGCCGTGCCGAGACCTCTACGGAACCCAAACTGGTGGGGAGTGAGGAGCTGCTGGCGCTCAAGATGGTTCATCAGTTGGCGATTGACAATAGTTTCCATTACTTTGGACATTATGCATAATAACGAGACTGGGCGGTAGTTCTTCAGAACAGAGCGCGAGGACCGTTTGTGGATCGGTACCACGTTAGCTGTCTTCCAAGATTCTGGTTGAACTCCGCACCTGAAACAGAGAGCGAATAGCTGGGACAAAGGCTTCGCAAGTTCTTTGGCACACTCTTTCAGGACCCGGGCTGAAATGCCGTCAGGACCAGTCGCCTTTGATATGTCGAGTCGCGCTAGCAGACGGTAGACAGTGGCGGGGCGAAAATGAACGGCTGCGAGTGCCGGTGCTCCGGTTGCAACAAGGTCAGGTAAGTCGTCAGAAGTAAGATCCTGGCCAGTGACACTGCACTTCCTGGAGAAGAAGGTGGCAAAGGCCTCCGATTTCTCATGGCTTGTTGCCAACTCCCGTCCGCCCGCGTCAACAATGAGAGGAATGTCCGTGTTACGTCCGTCCCCACTAGCATACTTTAACTTGGTCCACCATTCTTTGTCCTTGAGTGAGCCCGTGGACAGGCTGTGACGGATACTGGCCTCTTTAGCTTCCTGGGATCGCCTTAGGATGTTGACGGCTGTGGTAACGGAGCGGAGGAAAGCTTGTTTGAGTGAAAGATCGTTCGGGTGTTTTCTCCAGGAACGCCAACGTTTCTCCTTTTCCCTCATAGCAGCTGTACATTCCGGTGTCCACCATTTTGGATCACTCGGCCTCGTGGTAAGTTCCTTAGATGGGACAAACCTGGCTATTGCGCCTCTGATAGTGGAGGTTACCCGCGCACAGGAGGTGTCCGGGTCATCAGTTATGATGTCGTGCCATGGAGAGTTGCGAAGGAAAGCTCGGAGGCGATGCCAGTCTGCGCTCTTGTACCGCCAGACAGTTCGCTTTGCTGCAGGCTCGTGGCAAGGTAATATGCCTACGAAGTCGGATAGAACGATAACGTGGTCAGACCGCCCAAGAGGGGATGTGGCGGTTGTCAATACTGGGGAGTTGGTTGGTTGGTTGGTTGGTATATTTTATTTTACTTCGCCAGAATGAACAGGCATTGCTGCCTTCTTGCCTGGACAAGTGGATTGTCCAAGCTCTCACAAAAAGACGAAGAAAGGAAAGAAATATTACATGAGAGTGTGAAGCATGCAATCTTATATATTAAAAAAAAAAAAAAATTAAAAAAAAAAAAAAAAATTCCATGAGAGTGTGACGCATGCATGATGAGAGAGGAGAGATAGATTCGAGATAGAGATAGATAGAGAGAGAGAGAGATATTGTTCCGATGAAGAACTGAGACCCCGAGTTCTCCGATAGTGAGAGACCCGCTCTGGTACACAATGCTCTCCGTTTGTGAGAGACTCACTTCTTCCGCCCAATGCTTGGACACTAAAAGTAATGACTGTTCTCTTTCTGTTCACCCAGAAGTCTGAATTATGCTTGAACATACACAAGAATAATACCCTCGCCGGGCAAGCTCGTAGTCAGGCATGCGTAACAGCACTAGCAGGCAGCTGCAAGCAATACTAGCACGGTAGTCTACAGTACAATGCAGTGGTACACGAACTACATGAAATCAAAGGATGAATCACCACCGATATGACAGCCATGAGTCCTGTGGTCTCATCTGACCACAACACAGCGTACAATGAGACACGACCTATGGCACTCAATGCATAAAGATTGAAACATGACACTATTCAAAGTATCCTTCTGAACATTCTCCCCTTCCTCGATGTGTGGAGCACTATCGAAACTAAACACCTAGCTTAGCAACGCCTAGTATAGTATCGACAGCTAGAAAGGAGGAGCAAAGAAAATAACCCTGCAGCAAACGGCTTGCCTAATCTACGGCATGAAATAGTTGACATAACAAAGTCTAAAACCATGTGATGGTCTGACCCGTCTTAAGATGTTCACTCAGCAGGTGATTCAATTGGGCACAGCTTGCTGATAGGACGGATTAGCGTAGACTTTCCAACTTGCACTTTCACGACACGCACATGTCCGTCTCGTCCAGGAAATGTCTCCAACACTCTTGCCAGAGGCCAGTTACCGCGAGGGGTGTTGGGACTCAGCAACAGCATAACATCTCCGATCTTGACGTCATTATGAGGCTTCCGCCATTTCTTGCGCTGGGTAAGTAACGGAAGCCACTCCCGTATCCATCGCTGCCAGAAGTGGTGGACTAGTTGTTGGACTCTCCTCCAGCGCTTCCGCGGGTTGAAGTCGGTTGTGTCGACCGATGATGGTGCAAATGTTCCTCCACACTGCCCGAATAGGAAGTGGTTCGGCGTAAGAGGCGGTTCATCTGACGGCGAGCTGGATGTGTACGTCAATGGTCTTGAGTTGATGAGACTCTCAGCTGCGACGAAAGCTGTGGTCAGCTCTTCGTCTGTGATGTCGGCAGACTTCAAAATCGCTGACACGGCTCGCTTAGCCGCACGTATCATTACTTCGAATACTCCACCGAAGTGAGGGGCGGCCGCCGGGTTGAACTGCCATGTCACCCTCTGATCCGCCACTGTCCGAATGATCTGCTCTTCATCCATTTGCGCAACAAGTTCCTTCAATTCTCCTTGTGCGCCGACAAAGTTGGTGCCGTTGTCCGAAATGACCCGTTCTGGCAGTCCCCGTCGTCCAACAAAGCGGTAGAAGGCATTGAGGAAGGAGTTCGTGTCCATGCTGTATGCGATCTCCAGATGTACTGCCCTCGTGGCCAAGCAAGTGAATAGACACAAGTAGCGCTTTGTCCGCTTTCGCCCGCGGCCGTGTACTGTCTCAAACGGCCCAGCAAAGTCAACTCCAGCTCGAGCGAACGCCCTGAAGGATGGTGTGATGCGGCTCCGCGGCAATGGTGCCATCACTTGCTGTGCGGGTCTGGCCTTGAGTAGCTTGCATCGCGGACATTTCCTCTCGACGTCTCGGACGGCTTCCCTCCCAGCTACTATCCAAAAGCGGCTGCAAAGAGATGCGTACACCTGGTTGACGCCTCCGACATGCTGAGCTTGGTCGTGATGTTGCTGGACGATTAACCTGGTTACGGTATGGTGTCTTGGCAGGATGATCGGGTTGACGGCATCTCGTGGCAGAAAGTCTGCGAATTCAAGTCGACCACGGCAGCGTATGACACCCTCCTCATCGATGTACGGACACAAGGACCTCAAGGGACTACGCTCTGGAATGGATTGCTTGTTCCGGAGCGCTGGCATCTCCGCATGAAACGCTTCTCCTTGCGCAAGCTTTATGATCTCCGTCTCTGCGGCTGCCAATTCGTCGGGCATCAGCTCCCCTCCCTGACGATCCTCCTTTTGTCGACGGCAGTTCTCACCGAACCGCAGCACCCGCGCCCACAGTCGTACTCCCCGTGCCCAGTTGATGAACCTGTTGGCATGGAGTGGGCTGGAATCGTCAACGTTAGCGATCACTTGCAGCAAGCTGACCGTGGTTCCAGATGATACGGCGCTCACTTTCTTCTCCTCTTTCCGTGCCTCGGACTGCGGATAGGCTGGCGCTGTTCCCATGGGCCATTTTTCCGGCTCTTGTTGGAGGAAAGCAGGGCCATTCAACCAGACGGTCGTGTCGAGATTGGGGACCGTTGTACCCCTAGAGACCACATCAGCTGGATTCTGGTCTGTGGGAACATGGTGCCACTGTGACGGTTGGCTCTGGTTGTGGATCTCGCTGACTCGGTTCGCCACAAATGCCTTGTAACTTCGGCTCCTGCCTCTGATCCAGTAAAGAACATTCTGACTATCTGTCCAGAGTACCACGTCTGACATAGCTAAGCCTAGCGCACGAGTCACGACGCTTGCCAACCGAATTGCCATGACGGCCGCCATGAGCTCCAACCTTGGAATGCTCACTGAATGTAGAGGCGCCACCCTTGTCTTGGCTGCGACAAGGCGAGTTTGAACGCCACCACTGCTCTTCACACGAGCGTATGCGACGGCTCCATAGGCTTGCTCAGAGGCATCAGCAAATACATGGCACTGTAGCTTCGACTCCGTCGCTGCGATGCCGGTCGTCAGGTCGAAGTGTAGACATCTCGGTATCCGAATCTTGGCAAGCTCTGGCAGCTCATTGAACCACTGCCTCGTTTCCGCTTCCAGGGTAGGCTCTAGCGGATCGTCCCACTGCAGACCGGCAGACCACATGCGTTGCAGTAGCATCTTCGCGCAGACTGTGACTGGCGCCATGAAGCCGAGCGGATCGAAGATTGTTGCTGCTTTCTTCAGTACAGCTCGCTTCGTGAGCTTAACTTCTGTTGGCGGTGGTGAGAAGGTAAAGCCAAAGTTGTCTGTGCTCGCATCATACTGCACACCCAGCGTCCTGATGGTGGGCAGCGCTTCTCCGAAGGCGACGTTGGCAGCCCGGTCCACTTCAGGGATCTTGTCCATGATCTCCTGCGAGTTCGAAAGCCATTTCCTGGCGTGCATGCCTGCTTCGCCCCAGAGGCTGGTCAGTTGGTGGTAGTTGTCGATGCCAGCGCTCACCGACGGTGCGGAGTCCAGGCTGTCGTCCATGTATGTCGACTCGAGGACGGTTTCAGCGGCGTTCGGGTACTTCGATGTCGACGTTCGGGCATGCTCTTGCGTGACCAATTGCGCGAGGAAAGGCGAACAGTTGACGCCGAAGACGACTCGCTGAAATTCGTACACTTCCGGCTTCTCACTGGGATCCTCTCGCCACAGAAATCGATGGAATGGCCTGTCCTCCTCTCTCAGCTGGATTTGTAAATACATCTCGCTGATGTCGCAAGCCAGTGCCACCGGGTATTTCCGGAACCTCAGTAGCACCTGGCTCAAATCTTGTTGGAGCTTAGGCCCTTGGTGAATCACGTCATTGAGCGACGTTCCTTGCTGCTTGGCAGATGCATCGAACACGATGCGTACCTTGGTTGTGCTTTTGCCCATCCTCACAACTGGAAAATGTGCCAATAACCACCTGGGGACGCTGTTCTCACCCACTGGCACACGGCGCACGTAGCCCTTGGCTTCATACTGCTTGATGGTGGTTCTGTAAGCTGTGGACACTTCCGGCTGCTTTGCGAGCCGCCGTTCTGTTGACTCCAGGCGCCGGAGAGCCATGTCGTAATTCTCTGCCAGGTCCGGGGGCTTCTTTCGCCATGGAACGCCGACTTCATAGCGCTGGTCGATCCTCGACATGGTCGCCTTCGTCATGCTGACCACCTGCTGATCATCTGCGCTGATCACCGTCTCAGTTTCTGCCGGCACATCCTCCAACTCCCAGAACTTCCGCAGAAGCCTATCGAGTGGTTCATGCATCTGCACGCCGTGAAGAGTGATCCCAACGCCAGTGTGTCGAGCAACTGCTGATGGTGCTACACATGTCCATCCTAGCGGCGTTAGTCTGGCTACAGGCTCGCCCGGCTTTCCGGGAATGTCTCGCAGGGAAACGTGGAGGTCAGCGTGGTCCAGCCCCAACAGGACGTCTATGGTGCTGGAACGACATAATGATAGTGGTGGGAACTGGACGCCTTGGAGGTGCTCCCACTTTCTCCCTTGCTGCTGCCAGTCGATAACGCTGAAATCCCCCACGACTTTCTTGGTGGTGTAGAGCTCGACATCGGTTCTCAGACGCCCGTCCAGACTTTGCAGCTCCAGAGCCACTGGGGTGGTGAGGAACACCTCTTTGTGGCCGTTGAGGGTGTGAACAGACATCCTTTCCGGTTGCTGTCCCTGAACTCCCAGTTCGGCTGCTACATCGCTGTTAACGTAAGAGCGAGTGCTTCCGTCATCCAAGATGGCATTGACAGTCATTCGTCGGTTGCCGGCGATCAAGACCACGGGTATCGTGCGTAAGGACACAGGCTCTCGCTGCAGCATTGCAGTGGTGAGACCGACGTGCTCCCCTTCCGTGCTAGGCGCTGTCTCGGATGCCGCAGAGCAGTTGCACGGAACATTGTGAGTCACTGGGCCACTAGACTTGGTGGTGGCTGGCTTAGGCTCTGCCGTCGGTTTGGCTGCTTGAGGCTTAGGCCTGCCTGCCCCGTTGTCGGATGCTGATTCACGGCGGGGATCATGCAGCAATCGGTGATGGGACTTCTGGCATCCGTCGATTCCACATGTCCTTGACATCTGACATTCTCTGCCAGAGTGCCCTCGCCCGAGACATCGGAAGCATAGGCCAGAACTCTGTGCCACCTGCCAGCGTTGCGTTGGTGCCGAGGCCTTGAAGGTTAAGCACTTCCAGACCGGATGGCTCCCTTTGCAGTGAGCGCACCCAGGCGCCGGTTTTTCCTCCTTCGCAGTCACGAGTGTCACCGGTCGCACAGACTGCGATTGCCGGCCAGTATTGCTACTGCTGGGTTGGCTCTCTATCAGCCCGTCGACGGTTTCCATGGCAGTCGTTAGAAACTCCGCCTCCAGACTACACCATTCCAGGAAAACTTCAACCGATTCTGCCATCCTCTTGTCATGGCGCCAGCGATGGTACTGTGCCAACATCTGCCGGTCAAGCTTTTTCAGCAGCTTGCCATAGAAGGTACCAGGCTGCAGCTCCATTGCCCGTCCAGCATCCCTCAGGTTGGACACTGCCACTGTTAGCAGGTCTACGAATCGCTCCAAGTCTTTTGGCTTGTTGACCCGGACAGGCTTGATGTTCTCCAGCTCCTCTGTATGGATTGCGATTCGCCGCCGCTCGCCGCCGTACTTCCTTTCAAGCAGCTGCTTCGCTGCATTATATCCCCCGGCCGAGTATCCCAGGCTCTCGACAGCCCGAAGAGGTTCGCCTGCCAGGTACTGTCGAAGCTGCAACATCTTCGTCTCTGGTGTCATGGGCGCAGCGTCGATGCATGCCATGAATGCTGCATGCCACCCTTCAAATCTGCGTTTGTCTCCGTCGAACACCGGAATGCTGATCTTCTGCAGTTGCATCCACGGTCCAGCTGCATTCGCACTAGCGCCAACCGCTGGCGGTTGACCCTGAAGCACTTGGCAGTCTTGGGGCTGCAGGCCGACTGGCTGATATCCGTATCCCCCATGTCCTGAGTAGGAAACTGGGTTCGCTTGTGATGGCACTGGCGGTCGTCTACCAGCATTCAGGCCGGCTACTGACTGACTGTTCTGAGACTGAAACACTGGCGCTGCAGGGTTCGGATACGCATTGCCCCTGGACGCCGTTCTAACAGACACAGTCCCGCTTGCTGACGCTGTCACTGCCGCACTTTGTGATGCCGTCGCACTGCTACTCGCACTACCACTCGTAGATCTAGCAGGCTGCGGTGCAGCTGGTGGCGCTGGTCTGTTGGGTGGCGTTCCTGGTGCCTGCGCCCGAGTACCAGTCTGACTGCTCGCCCCGAGTTGCTGCACAGGCCTCGTGGTGCTCGTCGTTGTCCCGTCCTGGGACGCTGTCAAGTTCGAAGACGAAGGAGGGCTAGCGCTGGAAACGGAATTCACCGTGCTACTCGCACTCGTAGCGGTGACGCTAGCGCTGGTTCTACGAACTGTAGCGGACGCTGACTCAGCGGACTGATCTTCTGCTTCCCTGTCCACATGACTCATGAGGTTCATCCTCACTCCTTCTGAAGACCGGTCTCTGTGATCGTATGCTTGATCGATTGTTGGCCTCTCGTGGTCAACCACAGTATCAATCGATGACAGGTAATCGCGTGCTTGGCTGTGCGGTGAGCTGTAACTGATACCACTTCTGGAGCGCGTACGTGCAGGCGCACCTAACCGAGACGCAGTACTGGCAGTGGTGCGTGAGAACTCTGAAACTGGCTCTGAATCAAAGTGTTGCTGTTGGCTATGTGATGCAAAACTGTAGCCCGTGTTGGTTGACTGCGAAAGAAATGAAGCTAGTGCATCTCCAGCTGCGCTGAGCTGACTTTCCATTGTCTCTATTTCTGACAAAACCTTTGTTTTCCCAGCGATGTCGCCCTGCACAGCATAACAACCCATCAAATCCGCCATCACTGCGGTGGCCCTCTCGTATGCCTCCTCTAATTCTGTGAAACCGGCTACAACTTCTTCGGTACTGCACTCACCGTCCGTCATGGTCACCAGCACACGTCTGCGAACTTTTGTGAAATCCCCTTTTGCCTGCGTCTTCCAGGCCCGCAAGGTTGACACGTCTGAAACTGCGTTGTCGGAAGTTCGTGTTGACAGGGACCCACTCTCGAGTGGCGCATCACTGTCTCCTTCCACTGGTACTGCGGTTCCGGTTCCTTCAGCGTCCGACGCCGCTTGCGTAGGAACGCCTTGTGTGCTCGAATCGCCTTCATCCGAGTTGCCCGGTACCGCCGGCTCTATCTGAACTGGTTCGTTGCTGCTCATGGCTCTACATAGAAACCATCCTCTGCTACCAATAAATGTTCCGATGAAGAACTGAGACCCCGAGTTCTCCGATAGTGAGAGACCCGCTCTGGTACACAATGCTCTCCGTTTGTGAGAGACTCACTTCTTCCGCCCAATGCTTGGACACTAAAAGTAATGACTGTTCTCTTTCTGTTCACCCAGAAGTCTGAATTATGCTTGAACATACACAAGAATAATACCCTCGCCGGGCAAGCTCGTAGTCAGGCATGCGTAACAGCACTAGCAGGCAGCTGCAAGCAATACTAGCACGGTAGTCTACAGTACAATGCAGTGGTACACGAACTACATGAAATCAAAGGATGAATCACCACCGATATGACAGCCATGAGTCCTGTGGTCTCATCTGACCACAACACAGCGTACAATGAGACACGACCTATGGCACTCAATGCATAAAGATTGAAACATGACACTATTCAAAGTATCCTTCTGAACAGATATAGATAGATAGAGAGAGAGAGATAGAGAGAGAGACTGCTTTATTGCCTGGACAAGTGAACTGTCCAAGCTCTTACAAAATGACCAACAACAACAGCAACGACAACAACAACAACAGCGACAGCGACAACAACAACAGCAACGACAACAACAACAGCGACAGCGACAACAACAACAGACCAACAACAACAGCAACACCACAGCAGCAGCAACAACAACAAGAGAGAGAGAGAGAGAGAGAGAGAGAGAGAGAGAGAGAGAGAGAGAGAGAGAGAGAGAGAGAGAGAGAGAGAGAGAGAGAGAGAGAGAGAGAGAGAGAGAGAGAGAGAGAGAGAGAGAGAGAGAGAGAGAGAGAGAGAGAGAGAGAGAGAGAGAGAGAGAGAAGAGAGACGGCTTTACTACCTGGACAGGGAATTGTACAAGCTGTCACAATTTGACCAACAGCAACAGCAACAACAACAACGACAGCAGCAGCAGCAGCAACAACAACAAGACCAACAACAAGAACAAGAACAAGAACAACAACAACAACAACAACAACAACAACAACAACAACAACAACAACAACAATAATAACAACAGAAAGAGAGATAGATAGATAGAGGAGAGAGAGAGAGAGAGAGAGAGAGAGAGAGAGAGAGAGAGAGAGAGAGAGAGAGAGAGAGAGAGAGAGAGAGAGTGTGTGTGTGTGTGTCAGAGACACAGAGAGAGAGAGGGGGGGGGGGGGGAGGAGAGATATGCGGATTGTTAAAATGGATTTCGACATGAAGTTAGGTACACAGAATGTTAATATGGGTAAAGGCTGGGCAAGTCGAGAGCCGTGGCTAGAGCTTTAAATGTCTGCCAATCACCTTCCGTACGGACTGCAACTGGGAGAGCATTCCACAGAATGCTGCTAACAAACTGAATTGAACGACGTCCAGCAGGACCAGGGAGGAACGGAACTCTCAGCAGGCTTGACACTTGACCCCGTGTCGTCCTCAGCTGAGGTGTGGCAGGGTCGTTGATCGGCACGAACAGATTCTTTAACAGGGGACTTGTCTTGTCATTTAAACAAGGGAGTTGAAGGTAGACATCACGAGGTCAAGGGTATTGTCGCCACGAGTAGGAGTCTGAACATGCTGCGTAAGGAGGTGTGCGGCACAAGTGTCCTCAAGTGCTTCTTAAAGTCCCCAGCAAGAATGAGACTAGCGCCGTGTTGACGGGCCAAAGGAAGGGTGTCGTCGAGATGATGGATAAGTGAGAGGTCACCGGGCCCGCAAGAACCCGGCCGGTAGACACCTCCCAGGACAATCTTGTGCCCGGCGCTGAGCTGGATGGATACCCACAAGACTTCATGCTGGGGGGCGGCCAGTTCATCGATGATCAAGGCTGGGAGAGTAGATCGCACCCAGATTGCAACTCCACCACCGTGTGCTGTGCGGTCAAGCCTGAATGGAGGGCTATAGCCCGGGAATATCGTGTCCGACACTTGGACCTTCTCTGTTGTGAACTTTGTTTCGGTTACCACTGCGACGTCAGGGTTGTGCTGTAGCAACGCGTGCTGGCAAGTACATCGTGACATTCGTCATCCTCTGACCCCATCGAATCTGGGGTACCCCAAGGCAGCATGTTGGACCCAACCCTCTTCCTGCTCTTTACCAACCACACAGAGGACCACTCTTCTCTGTTTCTTATCTTATTTTTTCTTTTCTTCTCTGTCTGTCTTCTGGCACATGCGAATACGTGGACTTATTGTAGACGTAAACGCGGACGTGAGTATAATAAAATAAATAACAGAGGACCACACGCCAAATGGCGCAAATTTAGCCGTATACTCGTATGCCAAGTATCGCCAAAGTCGCACCAACATCTTCTTCATACTTGTGTGCCGATGACACAATGTTGTACAGGTGCCTATCCTCCCCAGGTGGGCTCCAGGAGGAGGCCGCAACCTTGCAACGGGCTGTGGATTCACTGGCATAATGGGGAACGGCATGGCACATACAATTTGAACCAAGAAAGTCGCAATCACTCCTGATTTCACATCACCGCAGGAACATTGCCCCACCGCCCACATCCTCCCGAGGCACTATCGCCCCTGAAGTCAACGAGCTGTGGCTTTTGGGCATACTTTTCGACCAGCGAATTTTGTTCAGCAGCCACACCGGGCAACTACCGAAAAGAGGAGCCCAACACCTTGGCTTCCTCAGGAAAGCCTCCCCCGTACTGGAGTAACTGGACGCCAAATACCGACCAGTTATGTACAAGGGTTTTGTCCGGTCAGTGCGCGTGTGACCAGTTTTTGCTCGTCTGCTACTGTGCTAGTTCAGTAGTTGGCATCAAAAGCACCCATAATGCCAGGTTGCTGCAGATATGCCACTTTAATGCTCGGCACTGCTGGTTTGCTAAAACAGGCATACGGTAATGCTAATTATAATGCTAGCAACAGCTACCGATGCCTACCTGCTGGTCGGTGGAGCTTCCCTCACCTCGCGCCCAGGCCCACTTCAGGGAGTAGTAAAATTCCAAATTCCTGGTATTTTACTACTCACTGGTATGCCCGTGCTAGTTCGTACAGAGAAAGACACCAGAGCTAGAAGAATGTGCATTGTAGATGTGCATATGAACAAAGAACTTCATAAGCCATGCGGGGCAGCAGGAACAGTGATAACATGTAAATCAATGTGCTGATACACACAACAAGTGGACCAGGAGTATTCCAAAGTGGGAAAGAGATCCAGAGAACGAGTGCATTCCTGTAAACATCAGGCTGCCATGAGTGACTGGAAGATAAGCTGATACAGAAGAAAACACAACCATTGAACACAGCTACATAATATGCACACGTACAATTCTAATTCGTAGTTGGTGGACTTCATCACTACCGGTAGCCTGAATATGGTTGGTATTTTTTTTACTAGCAAACACAGCCCTACTAATAATCAGGGAAAGAGGACAACTGGAGTGACACTGGACAACAAGACAAAGGGGAGTAGGGGCGATGTGCCGATGCAAGTGGTTGTCGAGGCTCATCCAACCGGAGGTCTCGGAATCATAGCCTACGACCAAGCATCAATAGGAATGCAGCTAGGGAGGGAGGGAGATCAAGTGCGAAAGAGAAAGAGAAAGAGAAACAGAGGGAGAGAGAGAGAGAGAGAGAGCTAATATAGGTGACTCTCCACTATCCATTCGATCCAGGGAACAAGTGTTCTACGTCGTGCATTATTAAACTGGCAGCACAAAGCATATCTAGGTCTATTCAATAGAAACATTCGGAATAAGATGGTAGGTGGGGGGGGGGGTGTAAATAGTGGAAATAGCATCATTACAATAATGCCGCTGACCCCGAGGGTAAACATAAGCGTTAGTTGGAAGCACTAGGGGATGTTTGCACACTGTATCAAAGTTAAACGAAGAATGCAGCTGAAAAAATATCTATACAGTATGCACAGTACGAGCGGACCTTTTGCAGCCGATGATGACTGATCCTCATGTCTTGTTGAGCGCTATACAAGTACATGTACACACGGCTTGAACAAACTATGCTGGATAAAGACTTGGCCACACTCACAGCACCTATACCTGATACCTCGGTGCAGTCAGAAGAGATGTTTCTTCTTTTAAATTAAAAGCCAATGGAGCTTCTGTTTTCCTTTTGACAGTCAATGCAGTAGAAGACCATGATTATGGGATGGAACGATGATTGACAAGAAATGTTACATTTCACCCAACGCTGACGAAGTCAACACTTCCAAAGAGAACAAACGTCTTATGATAAACTGCACAGTGAAATAGTCCTTTGGGTGTATATTTTCCAAAGGGTTTCTTGATGAGGTCACAGGCCATCATGGTTACATCATGGTTACACCAGTTGAAGATATACAATTATGTACCACCCCAACCTGCTAGGCCAGGCTGCCAACGTTAGTGCTGCTGCTGCTGCTGCCATCCAGCATCACCATACAGTGCTGCCAGCATCACGGCCATGCAGTGATGTTAGCATTGCTGGCCATGTGCTGTCCAGACTGCATGCTGCATCCTGGATTTCTCCAGCGCCCTGCAGAGCGATGTAACTCGCATCCACGGACTCACTGTCATCATCGTGCTGAGTTGTTGCTGCTGCTGCTGCTGCTGCTGCTGCTGCTGCTGTTTTTGTTGTTGTTGTTGTTGTTGTAGTAGTCGTGGTTGTGGACAAATAGGCATGTGGAGCGGCAGAGGAGCACACACTATTTGAAGCAGTGCCAGTAGTGTCATCAGTATCAGTAGTGTCACTATGAACTTCTATCCCGTAACAATCTGCAGCACACTCAACCTCATTGTCAATGTCATCATCCGCACATCCTCGTCTCAACTCGTCCTCAAAGAAGTCAAGGCTCTGACGGCCGTCACTACAATCGTCATTCCAATGCCAGCCAAGGACGGATTGAGCATCGCTCAGCATTTCACTGAATGTCAAAGGCGACGACACCAGTGACGTAGAAGTGTCGCTGTTGCTGCTTTCGGATTCCGCCGGAAATTTTCTTTGATCTCCATGAAGGTATTGTCTTACGCTCTCCGTTGGCCATTCAGTTTTTGCGGGCTCGCCGCTTTGGCATAGTACGTCAGTCCGTCGAGATAAGTTTGCATCCAAGCGCACGTGAAAACGCTTGTTGTGACTTTTCAAATCCGCTTCACTATCGAAATGAACGCTACACACTTCGCAGATAGGACTTCCTCGTACGGCCGCCAAACATCCCTCGAACCATTCAGGATTCTGTGCCTCAGCCTTCATTAGTATGAGCATGGATCTACAAGAGAACCCTGCAGCCGCCGGGCGTCCGGGTTCCTCGCTTTCCATCATGTCCCTGGCGGATCGAGCCAGTTGATCAGCCATCTCTTCAACTACTTCAAGTAAGAAAGTAGTTAGCTACCGTTCTTCCAAAAAAGGTTCAAGGCCCGGAGTCGAGTCAGGACCGGCCTGCACCTGAACGAGCACATCAGGGAGCCTAGCCGTAGAATCCACGTAGATCTACCCAAACCTGCTCCACATCAACTAGTTACTTTTTTGTTGCCATCTTCGCCTTTTTATTCCGTTTCTTGTTTTGTGATTATGACCAGGCAGTCGGTATACATAATACAGTGGATATCGGTTATAAAGTCATCGGACATAGTGATAAACCGGCTATATTGATACAAAATGAAAATATCAAAAGCAAAACCAGAAAAAGCCAGTCAAATTATCATTATAACCAATATATCGTATATAGCGATAAATCGGCTATAAGGATACAGAATCACCATTCAAAACACCTCTTTGTGCAGAAAAATTATCGTCTATAGTGATAGCAACACACGAGTGTGAGGCATTGATGTCTCGACTTGGAGCCGCGTGTGTGTTGTCATAGGGTATTCTGGTCTGGTGCTTCCTGGATGATGCCTTTGGGCCAAGAAGTTCTTCATTCTAGACTGGAGAAGGTGCAGTAGCATCCATCACGTATCAGTACGCTACATTAGCGCGATCGAGTACCCACACGTGTATAATGTGTACGTATGATGCGCGCAGTTGAAAATCGCCTGTAGTGATATACCGGTTATAGTGATAAAATGTGAAAAATCAGAAGGGCACGTTATAACCAATACCTACTGTATACGACTCCCTGATTATGACATCGTAAATGTAGTACTACTACTTACTAGTAGATCTACCTGCGCAGACCACAATGATTCTGTGTAATCATGGTAATGGCATGACCATGATGACCGACAGCGTTGGTACCAGGGAGTCGACTCCCTGGTACGGTGGTTGGTACAAACTGCAGTGAAACCTGTCAAGGCGACCACCTGTCCAAGAAGACCACTGAAGCCAGGGTCAAGGGGTGCTATTTCCAGTCAAATGACCCTGGATAAGGAGACCACCTGGTAACAGAGACCGCATTTTGAAGGCTGTAGATCTGTAGACGCAGGACACCATGTAATCTACCACACCATACGGGATACGGAAGTCGAACAATGCTCCTGACTAGAACCAGAAACCCGTTGGCTGCTGGGGCCTTGGTCTTGCTCCTGGTTCAGACCCTCTTTACTGACTAAAGCCGAGAATGAGGGGCTGCCAAGGGACATTGGTTGCTGTTATTACCATACACCATACAGTAGGCACCGGCGGATTATGCCGGCATAATTATTGGCATAATTATTTGGTGGTTGAAAATTTGGAGCATAATTTGGCATCCTCGCGGAGGTAGGAGCATAACTACACGATTATACCACAGTTGTAGTATGTAGGCTATACAATTGTGTACAATGCACCTGATCAGTGCTGGTGGTCTGCATGGTAAAGCCTAAAGGGTTCGGAGGTCATGCAGATAGTGTTTTCAATGAAAAGCAGGGTAGAAAATTAATGATGGCAATACAGCCACGGTATTGTATGCTCGAACTCGTCTTCTTCAAAGTTCTTTCTCACACTGATACAGTACATGTAGCAGAAGATGCGAGTGAATCAGCCTTCATTAGGTATCCCGTAGCGGACGAGATAGTGGCGGGTAGTCCGCAAAACTCCGTGTACATGTACATGTACATGTACATAATCATTACATTTGTACATTATGCATGTTACGAAGTCATGACCTCTGGTAGTCTGGATTTTAGTAGCCATGATATGACTGCAGGCTATGGATATTGCTCGACATTGATGTATAGTTGATGTTCGGTCATGATGGAAGGAGAATTGGAGCTACGGAAGAGATAAGCTGATTATTCGCAGGGTGAGGGTGACATCGGTTGGACGAGTTTGATGATTATGAAGACCGTGAGTTGAACATGATAATTTTCAAAGGTAACTCAAACTAATTTGGCAATGAAATAATATTTTTACTGAAGTACAAAAGAAATCAAGTGATGAATAGAAGAATTAGTGTTTTCTTTTTTCCATGTTGATCTCTAACGTGCATGGACACCTTGCAGCTTGGTATGGGGATACTCATGTATTTTGTTGTACTTATGGCCACTTGCAACTTGCAAGTACGAAAAAGGCACACTTTTCCGAACTTTGAGGCTCCATAAGTACAACAAAGTGAATATATATCCCCGGGTGCCAAAGCATAATATGAGGATTTTCCGAGCATAATGCGAGAATCCATGAAGGCATAATTCCATGATTTCGCGAGCATAATCCACCGGAGCCTACACAGACAATAGCTGGTAAACTCACGACCACTCACCAGGCATTTGAAGGCGTCAAGCCTTGCATAGCCAGGTAATGACCAGAGTCCAGAGTGGTGTGTGTGGGGGGGGGGGGGGTATACGTAAGGCAGGGATATTACAATATTATGGAAACGTTACCCCCATGTGCACCCCAAGACTAAACAAACAGTGATGACTGATGTACAACAGTTTTTTTTTGTTACTGTACACCTGTACTGCCGGGGTCAATCCATGACTGCCAAAAAACCATTTTCACTTGTTGCACATCAAAGAGTCGTGCTATATTCCAGTAAGGAAAGTAGTAGAGTCAGACCTCGCATAACCGCACATATCCATACTCGACACATATCCATATTCGACACATATATCCGGATAGGCCAGGGAACCGGATAAACGAACACACATACTGTATGTATGCATGGCATATGCTGTAAATCGGTAACCAACGATTTTCTTCCGGATAAAAGAGGACCCAGAGAAGCGAGGTCTTATTGTAGTGTTGGATATGAGTATGCATGCACACACGCACGCACGCATACATTGCATGCACGCACGCACAAATACATTGCATGCACGTACGCATACATTGCATGCACGCACGCATGCATTGCATGCACACACGCACACATACATTGCATGCACACACGCACGCATACATTGCATGCACACACGCACACATACATTGCATGCACGCACGCACACATACATTGCATGCACGCAAGCACACATACATTGCATGCACACACGCACACATACATTGCATGCACACACGCACGCATACATTGCATGCACACACGCACACATACATTGCATGCACGCACGCACACATACATTGCATGCACGCAAGCACACATACATTGCATGCACACACGCACACATACATTGCATGCACGCACGCACAAATACATTGCATGCACGCAAGCACACATACATTGCATGCACGCACGCACATTGCATGCACGCAAGCACACATACATTGCATGCACACACGCACCGGTGTGACACACACACACACACACACACACACACACACACACACACACACACACACACACACACACACACACACACACACACACACAGAAGAATGCCAGAAAACAGCATCATGCAATGGAAATAGCCATGTCATGCATGCATCCATCTTGTGAGAGTGCACAGTAGAAGCCTACCTAAAAGTATTACTATTACGAGTCGTACAATTACTTCAGATTGCAATGTTCGAGCTACATTGTCACTGTAAACGTGACTGCTGCTGCTGCTGCTGCTGCTGCTGCTGTTCATGTAGCGTATACTATCTGGTTGTGCAATGACTGTGTATTGCCTGATCAGGTTAGGTACAATCAGGTTAGGTATAAGCGTCATCACCTGTTAGTGACCGCATGACCATTGTCATTGCAATGTAAGAACAAATGTACGGATCTCCATAGGATTGAGGGTGATGCTGAAGCTGTCATACGCCTGCTGCAGATTGCGCTTAGTCATGGTTCTTGCCTCAGCCCGTTTCTGCAGCCCTTCCATTTCGTATGAGGGCTGTGCACCGTCAATTCCTGGCTCAGCGACTTTCCACACAAGACGATGCTCCTGCGACTTTTGCTGATTGGCACTGAGTGTCATTTCTGTCATAGCTGAGACGTTAAGTCCAAATGCAGCTTTCAAGTATTCGCGTACATTCACACTAGCTGGTTTAGACAGCTCCTCATCTTCGCCAACCTCAAAGTAGTGTTCAAATCTCACCAGACGCTGGGTGCTCTTGCCGTCCTCGGGATCAAAATCTAAGCGCTGTAGCGTGAGCAGGTGAACATTCTTTGGCAGACTGGTTGCAGAGGAGTTACTGCTACCCATCGGTGTGACCGCAGACTTTGCTTGTGCACCCTCAGAAAACATTATTTGGGGTTGCAGCATGATCTCCTGTGCCAGCTGGCGATGGAGGGCTGCTGCGGACTTTATCGGCGCAAGCTGCAAATAGTGCGTACCTTGAACGATGAGTCCTTTGCCATCCACGCCAGTCTCGTTGAGAGGTTCATTTACGCCGCGGTGATCATCAACCAGGAGACGTCGATGTACCATGAGTTCAACCTGCCCACTGGCAAGACTAGCGCCGGCTTGTGAGCTGTCCGTCAGAACTGTTAGCTGAGTGTCAGCAGCTTCGTCTCGGAGCAGAATGCGACTGTTCACCGGATAGAAGTTTCCAGCGACCTTTTCAAACACCGTCATGTTCGGCTTCCAAGTGTTGCGGTGGTTGTAGATGCGCTCCTGAAGCTCTCGACCATTTGCGTCAGTATAAAATGTAGAATCATCGCCAGTGTTCAGGCCGCTGGTGAATCGGCTCACGACTTCTTTGCCCTTGTGGTCGCCGACGGGTATGGGACCAACAGTGAACGTGAACTCAATGTGAGGCATGCCTTTGTACAAACCCACTGTTTGGTAGACAAAGTCGCCGCATTTCTGACGAGCCTCCGACTGCACGCCTTCTTCCTCATGGAACTCTGTAGCGCAGGTTCCCGTTTGCGATACAGGGTACGCCTCATCCCCATTTGATCTGAAGATGTATGCGCCGGATGCCTGATCATGTTTGTCAGTTTTGTTGTAGGACTCGTACCAGAAGAATCCCTGCTGCAGGGCTGTTATTCTGCCCGATGTTTTCTCTGTCACCGATACCAACAAGCCTGTGTCCATTGAGAAGTTAGCCGAATAGAATTCATTGGAGATAACATAATATTGGGCAGTAGTAGTGAGCTTCTCATGGGCTTTGCTGCTCTTGCTGTTACCGCTGTCACCAAGACTCTTCCAGTCTTGCTCTTTCGCTGGCGTTCTCTGCCCATCAGCACCTGGGTGTACGGGAATGGTCACAAATGATATAGGTGCAAGGTTCACAATCATCACCAGCTCGTTAGTTAGATTCCCCTGCTTGCCACGAGCATGCACCGCTGCTTGCTGCACTGGCTGGACTAGGTGTCCCAGCACTGCCTTGGCATTGATTGAGTATGCAGAACTCATGACCGGAATTCGGATCTTACTGACACGCTCATGACCAAGTGGATTGTAAAGGATAACAGTGAAGGGATCTTGGGAGTTCAGGCTGCACACACTGATATTGAGAAGATCGCAGAACAGAATGTGTCCGCCATTCGGCGATACGTTGCTGTCTGTGCTTGGCGGGGAAGCTGTGGCAAGTCTGGGTAGTACTTCAGTAGCTGCATATTCAGCCACTACTGTCTGACACTGAACACCACCCATGTAGAGGCGTTTGGCATAGTCATTAGCAACATGCTGTTGCTCAGTTCCAGACACAGCGTCGTGGTGCTGCGCAACACCCATGGCTTCTTTCAAGGCAAACGAGTCAGCGCCGGGAGCCAGAACTCCATGCACCGACTCAATTTGCTTACACGACTGCAGAAGGCTGTTCTGTACACGAACATATCGCTTCAGGGCTGGTCGGGAAGTAAAGTACCCGGTCCAGTAGGCGTGGGGTCGGTCAGCGTAAGGGAAGAAGTCATCAGTTTTCAGCTCCCACGTCAGGCCTTGAGCATTGACCGCATCCAGGTAGCGGGCTGGCGTTGAGTAGAATACGTTCACGCGCCCGTCAGCCAACACGTGCTTGATCAGCTTGTCGACGTTCTTGAAGTAGGCGAGCGCCGCCGAGTATGCAAAGTCACTTCCCATTGGGAAAATCAGGTGCTTTGTGCGGTATGCCTTTGCGTTCATGATGACCGTTTTGACGAAGTCATCGACCAACTTCTTGACATTGGAGTCTTCAAGTAGTGGATCATCCTTGACGACCATTGGATCTGCAAATCGGCTATCGAACTGAAACTCTGCTGGGGGACCATATCCGCCATAGAACATACCTACAACAAATACACAAATGGGGAGAAGTGAATCATACAAACGGAATCCTGCACAGTCATGTGGTTGCATAGCAATTATTGAAAGAAAACATGACATTGTATGTTGTCACATGCACATGGGTTTAACAATGCATGGATCGACTAAACAACACTCCTGCTATCTCTGCGCATGATGCCTCGTGAGCATATAATTATATATATATATACACTCTGAAGAGTAGATCACCACTGCCGATTCATTGCTACAGTTGAGTAAATAGCGAAAATAGCAACATGTCTGCGGACAACAGATGCAGTATCTGCTGCGCAGTTTTCTTACATACCGTATTTTCCGGAGCACTAGCCACACTTATTAAACACCAGTAACCCCCCCCCCCCCCAAAAAAAACATAAATCGGTGCTGCTTATACTTCGATGGTCAAATTTACTGTGATAAACATAGTGAAAATGTCTATATTTTGTGACACGACAATCTGGGTTCGACTTATACTCCGGAAACTACGGAACGGCGATAGAGCTGCTAGCTCAGAGAGCAGGGGAGGGGGAGGTCACACATACCACGTAGCTAACCACTTAGGTCAGAAAAATGGGTTTCTGTACGAAGACCTCGGTAAAGCGGAAAAAGCATAGCAAGGGTACTGAGCTCGTAGCTGATCTCTCACTGATCAGTCAGTACATCTTTGCTACTGCTCGCATGGCTATAGATTTACTTCGCTTTTTTTGTAAGGCCAAAACAAACAAAGTACATGTATGCTTGTTTTAGGTCGGCAACCCCTAAAAAAAAACTCAGTTGGCCAAAGTATAACTAATACTTGTTTTGGACAATTTGTTTTGGCTCTTACTTGTACTATCGATGATCCTGAGGCTTTAGTACATAATCATCATGTTATGGATGAACAAGAGCAATGCAGCAGATATTATACATTATACAGATGTACTACAGTCATGTATCATGGTATCAAGAGTACATAACCCCCCAGAGTGTGCAACGCCTGATTTGGCTACTGGGGGCGGGGTTACAACTGGTGGCGAAATAAAAGTCACACCTGCATGCGACATGAGTGGGTTGCTATGCACCCACATACTTAGGCAATAGCAAAGTCACACCTTAGTGGATCCAAAAATAGAAATCTGATGTCAACTTACTACTCCCTGGCCGTTTTGACGTCATCACTTTCAAGCCCTATTACTTGTTTCTGCCTAAGCGTAACCATGGTAACGCCATAACGCCTTGATGTCTACAGTTGTACCGTACCTGTAAAGAGATCAGACTCTTGTCCCAGGTTGTCCGGACTGCCGCGCCACACCATTTCCAGGCGCGACTGGTTGATACGCAGACCTTTATCTTCGTAGTCAGCGCGCGCAAAGTATAGCCCGTCGTACCCCATCTGTGCAAAGATAGTAGCTTGGACTGACGAATGACCAAACGGATCCACTTGCCAAGCCATGCGAGGGCGATACTCTGCACCAAACTGAGTGCTTATGAACGCATGTCCAAAGGTTATCTGGTCGATGATGGCATTATAGTGTGTACCAGCCTCATCATTCATACACCAACCACCGCCCACAAACTCCAGACGACCGTCCTTGACCAGATTACGCACTTGATCCTTCATGGTATCGCTCTGTTCACGCCACCAGCGGAAGAAGAAGGCCATCTCCACGTAGCTAAACTTCTTGTTTGGATCAGCGATCAAAGACGCAATGACACTGTCCAGAATGTACTGCACAGCACCGTTGGCAATGGTGGTATTCGTTCCGTAATAATACTCATCCACCGTCTTTTTCCAGCCAACATCATCGTGTGTATGCGCTATGATGTGCACTTGGAGAAGGTCATCATCAGCCAACGTGGCGGTGTTCTGGGGTGACTGCGCGTCATTGTTCTGAGAACGGTGAGTGGACAAGGATGGTGCCGCACCTGCAATGCCGATACCAGTGGCAGTGAGCAGCAACAACAGCACCGAAACAAGGCCCACCCCGTGCGGTAGCAGGGTACCCATCCCTGTAGGCTGTAGTCTGTAGGTTCAAGCTTATCTTCTCTCCGCCAAACAAACCGTAGGTCCACGGATTGTAGGACTAGCGCCTGTCGCGTGCAGCGTTCTGAATAATTATTTGCGTGGGCCAATAGGAAATCAATGGGTCTGTATTTCTGACTTCTCTTGATAACCGATTGCTTACTCAAAGTTACTGACACTAGTATTAGTAATGCAGACTCAGTGTAGTAGGTTTATCCACGTCGTGACATGTCTGTGTCGTTCCTAGCGGGAGGCTGCTCTGAATCAAATAATAATTGCCTGCTTCGGGAACGCCCGACAGAGTTCGAATCGGTTTACATAATTATTACCTAATTTTTAATTATGCCGCCTATATGCGGCGGGGGTTCTCTGTAGTATGCTTCGACATCGATCCTGTCCTGCTCCAGACGGCCACAGACCCTGTGTATCTCTGCCACCAAGAGACCACATTATCCTGGGCCAGGGTTGACCATGATTGATGATGTAACGTGTTGTGTCAGCAGGATCAACCGGGGCCAGAGAAATCGAGGAGACAGCGTGTTGATCATGTGATCCAGATCCCTTTTGTCATGCACGTGAATGATTATGTCGCAGGTTTTACAGCAGCATCGGGCTGTGATTATTTCCGAGACTAGAGCAAGTCAGCAAGACGACTCTGCATAGTGAGGCCGTTGAAAATGGTGTCGATGCATGTCCAGGATCACCAGCCTCAAGCGAGCCTGGGACCGATCGGTGTTGATGAGGAGAATGACACGGAGGATGACACTGAGGACGAGTTGGAAGATGAGCCGGGGACGAGGTTGTGGTTGGTGAAGACGAGGAATCGGATGGTGATTGTGATCGTAAGAAGTCTGCCGTTTTTCTTCATCTGTTGTCTCACCCTAAGTGTCTGCAGGTGTATGATGATTTTAGTTTTTCTGTTCTTTGTCGTGCTATAGCGCTAGTCAGTTGAAAGTACTTGAGGCTGTTTGTATTCGTTTGCATAAGCCTGATCTTTGTAAGCAGAAGAAACATGTAGTTGCGTTAAGATTGTTTTCGTAGGTGCACAGCATGATTGTTTGTCTCACTACACAGTTCTAGTGTTGCAATTAGTTCCTCACCCCTGTTGCACTTAGCTCTCACTTCACTTCTATTGTCCCACCTTCCCTCATTCTATTTTAGCACTTTGTTTTGTTCTCGTAACACATTATTGAATGTATAAATCATTGATTTAGCATGGTTATTCTTCAGTCACGGTTTTCCACTGATGATTGTGACAAGAAAATCGATTTTGGTAACCCTTCATGACTTTGTTGTAGTGTGGCGATGACAGCAGAATTTGTTCTCTTTATAGCTATTATAAAATTGTTGTCTCCGCGTCGATTATTTACATATTTTACCTACTCGAAGTACCATTACCGTTTCATGTACTGCAGTAGACTCTACATTGTACCAGCACCGGTACATGTACAATCATATGATATAATCCAAAACTGGTAAACCAGTATTAGATAAACCTTGTTCTAGTTCACGCAATTGTTAGATTGACAGCATGAAACAAGGAGGACACTGTGTTCGAAAACAGTGACCTTACTACAACCTTCCGCGGTTGGCAGAGCCCCGGTCCCTGCGGACCATTCGAACCATAATTATGGGTATCGCACCCGGTTCTGACCCTCGTTATGCTAGGGGGTTAGGAGACTACTCCTGATGTCGTCTTGTTGTCTTCGCTCTTTTTTAACTTCTTTCCCACGCAATGTTACTATTTTCATCGCTTGACAAGTGATACCTCACTGCTCTCTGTAAATATTAGTAGCTGCACTGGATGCATTGGGTGCAGTCCTTCCAGGTAGATCTTCTGAAAGTACTAGTAGCTGAATGCATTGAGTGCAGTCCTTCCAGGTAGTTTTCTTGAGAAAAGGTTAAGAAATGTATTGACGATGGATCGCTACCGCAACTGACAACCTCAGCGTCTCCTCCATTCGCCATGCCTTAACAACAGAGGTAAGACGTAAGTAGAGCTTTCTTCCTTACCTTTAAATTCTTATGATATACAGTCGACCTACCCTTATAACGATATTTGCGTCAGACCAAGAAATATTGTTATAAGGGTAATATTGTTATAGGGGTAACTGGTTCATTCATACACATACGTCGCAATGCATGTATTTAGTTCATTTTTTACACTCTTCATAGCGTCAAAAAAGTATATACATGCACATTATGTACACAGCAAGGTGCCCACTGGTGGCCTCATCGCATTTCGTCATGTTCCAGAGACTTATCAAGTGAACCTTGCCCTACCTTGACAGTGGACTCTACATATTCCCTGCTGGATATTGTTATAAAATGGAAAATGTCGAGTGGTCAGCCCATCTTATATTGTTATAGGGGTAATATCGTTATAGCAATATTGTTATAAGGGTAAGGCATTGTATACAAAAGTCAATGGAGTGATTTGGTTTGGCAGAAAAATATCGTTATAATAAGGGTAATATTGTTATAGAGGTTATCGTTATAAGGGTAGGTTGACTGTACACCTAAATAATGCATTAACACGCATGCACTCGCTATTGCAGACCAGTGGAGAGCACACATAATATGGAGGATTCATGGAGTGCTGGGCAACCGAATCTGGCATGTGATAATCATGTAGGATAGTCCACGCACGAGGTGCAGCCCATGAAATGGGCACCCATTAACTGGGCGGAGTGTGGACGGCCTGTATGATAGTGTGTATGTATGTCCACGCACAAAGTGCAGCCCATTAGATGGGCGCCCATGAAATGGACGGAGTGTGGACGGCCCACGCACACAAGGTGCAGCCCATGAAATGGGCACCCATGAACTGGGCGGAGTGTGGACGGCCTGTATGATAGTGTGTATGTATGTCCACGCACAAAGTGCAGCCCATGAGATGGGCGCCCATGAAATGGACGGAGTGTGGACGGCCCACGCACGAAGTGCAATGCCCGTTAGGAGGCAGGAGTGTGGGAGTATGTGTGATGGCCGAAGGCCGTGATAATTGCCAGATGAGAGGAGATAGCTGGCCCAGCACTCCTATTTATTTTCGTCTTGTATGAATTATGATACCTGTGTTGAATCAAGGATATCAATATTATTCATAGATGGGAAGAGGTGGGTGGGTGAGAAAGGAACAAACCGGTGTTCTTCTCACTACCCAAGCAAAGCAAATATGAAGTAGCAATACGGCCAGCGCGAAGTATGGTGTATGCGTTACGGGTTCAAGCTCCGATGTGTGCTGCAGCCGCATATGGCTGGTTCGCTGGCGAGTTCAGGTGAGTTCCGGCGTACGCATGTTACATGCCATCACAGCGTGCATGTACGTGTTACTTGACATGCATCAATGAATAGCGTGGGATCTGCGGGCTCTTTGGAAGCCGCTGGAGCGCGTGTGAAGTGGTGGCTTGTGCAATGTGTTAACCTACATTACCGCAAGCTCTAATGTGCTATTAACACGCATGCACTCGCTATTGCAGACCAGTGGAGAGCACACATCATATGGAGGATTCATGGAGTGCTGGGCAACCGAATCTGGCATGTGATAATCATGTAGGATAGTCCACGCACGAGGTGCAGCCCATGAAATGGGCACCCATTAACTGGGCGGAGTGTGGACGGCCTGTATGATAGTGTGTATGTATGTCCACGCACAAAGTGCAGCCCATTAGATGGGCGCCCATGAAATGGACGGAGTGTGGACGGCCCACGCACACGAGGTGCAGCCCATGAAATGGGCACCCATGAACTGGGCGGAGTGTGGACGGCCTGTATGATAGTGTGTATGTATGTCCACGCACAAAGTGCAGCCCATGAGATGGGCGCCCATGAAATGGACGGAGTGTGGACGGCCCACGCACGAAGTGCAATGCCCGTTAGGAGGCAGGAGTGTGGGAGTATGTGTGATGGCCGAAGGCCGTGATAATTGCCAGATGAGAGGAGATTGCTGTCCCATGGTTGCCCAGCCTCCATGCTAAGTTGTGACACATTGCAATGCACGTGAATGACACTGTTTTTGCTATCAGCGCAGTTTGTCAGCACAATCCTAGCAGAGCAAGTTGCTGTGCTGTTCCAAACGATCAGCCGTGTGGGTACGTGCATGGGTGCGAGTTGCGTGCCCGCGTGGCGGGTTCTTACATACCTCAATGCGTTCTGTGATGCGCTTGTACCTCTGACAGCTTTTGGGTCAGCTGCCCCATGTCTTGTCGGTTGTCCTGATGTAGCGCAAGACACTGTCGCTTCTCCATCGGCCCATTGCCCTGATTAGCCAGTCCGGGGTACCCGCCATGGCTGCAGTTGTGGCGGCACCGATGCGGAACGAATGACCAGCGTAGTCGCGTGAATTGGGTGTTCCCGTGAGTGGGAGAAGCTGTCGGAGCTTTTCTGTCAGTGCCTGCCTGGTCAGCGGTCTCCCAGGGCGGTAGCGGAAGAGTGCGTCAGTGGCGTCAGACGGACAGACTGTAAAATATGCCAGGAGGGCGGCAACCGGGCAAGGTTGTGAAGTGGTACTACCGATTATCTGCATGGCCCAGACGAAGTTGGTCCGTCTTCGATTGCTTGATGTGGAAGCGGATATATGTGCGTCCTTGAGTGACATCCAGAGTCACATCCTGGCGCGTGGCATGAGTGGCAGGGTCAAACCCGGCTGGAGGCGCAGTGAATTCAGCGCATGGAAGAAATCCGAAGAAGGCGAGCACCATTGCCGCCTTGAGCATGCCCTTGTCCTGCTGGTGACGCCGTTGGTCCAGGCTGAGTTGGTTGAGGAGCTTCCGCAGCAAATCAATGGTGATTGGGAGGCGAGTGCGCTGGATTGCCGGGTCAGTAGCCGTCCTCTTGATGCCTCGCATAACACGTGGCGGCAGCAATGCGTTCATCGTTGGATCTTGGAATCCGGCTTCGAGATGCATGTTGCGTACTGCGGCCATGTAGACATGAATTGTCTGTGGTTGAACCGATTGTGTGAGGTGTGCTGCGAAGCAGCTGGGCATCGTGTCTGTAGCCGGCATGGGCGTCCATCTCTGCAACGCACAGAATTTACGTAAATTTCCTTTCGCCAGTGGTGTACGTGCGCCGTGTTGTCGGGGCGATTGCCATGGCTGCCAGGTCGGCGACCTCCTGCATCAGTCCAGGAGAGGGAGGCGGATTGCAGTGTCCGGGGCTTGCTGTGCCGATGGTGCCAGCTGCTGGAATGCCTGTCAGAGTGATACGGAAATAGGGCTTGGCGCGGCTAAACCTCTTGTTGATATCCCATAAGCGCCGCGTAAATGTTCTGCCTGGTACGACGACGCTCGACGCAAAGGAGAGTTTCCCCAGGAAGTGATCGAGTTTGCGTTGCGTGGTCTGGGTGCAGCGTGACAGCT